GCACACCTGTAATTCCAACCCTGAGATGCTGAGGCAGGAGGATCTCTGCAAGTTCAACAAGGCCAGCCTGGGCTATATACAGTAATGAGTTCAAGGTCACCCTGAACTATAGCAAGACCCTGTCTCAAAAAAAATACTAAAACATTAGGCAAAATTGAAAATTCCCCCACTACTTTTCTTTTGCTGGTAAAAATGCCTTTTTGGTTTACCCCTGTGATCTAAAAATAAGAAAAATCCTGTTGCAATAGTGTTAGATCCTCATTCCTCAGTGGGTTCCTCCTCTCTGTGGTTGCTTTTGTGTTCCCTCAGAAGTCCTCAGAAAAGAGTGATTTAGCCAAAGATTTTCTGTACACAAAGATGTAAGTAGTACTGAGACTGACAGCAAAAGGTTGAGCGAATACAGTATAAGAAAATCACAGCACTATAGAATGACTGTATGATGAACAGAGTGAGACTTTACAAAAGAAAATAGAAATGAGGTCAAAGCCTGGGCCTCACAGCTTCATAATCCAGTGATTGGTGAATTAAAACTTGAGCAAGTAGTTTGCCACTAAGGCTGGAAAGGAGACCTTGTCGTGAGCTAACTGGGTTTGGGGAACCTGGTAGTTAGAGTGAAGAGCAAAAGTGATTGGCTGGAACATTGCACGGTTTTGAGCAGATGGATTTGGTATCAAATTAATATGGTTATGTTATAATTTTGGGCCTGGTGTAAAGATCCAGCCGTGCATCCACTCGTTCCTGCATACAGGAAGTGTTTTCTGAGTAGCATCTTCCAGCCAGGGCAGGGGCTGTGGTGAACCCAAGGAAACTCAGGGACTCAGAAAGAGGCCTGGGTGGGCTGAGTGACACTGCGGTGTGAAGGGGCGGGGGTGTGGGAGGCCAAGGAAGTCTGGGGGGTGGAGCAAGAGCAAGAGGATTTGGAGTTTTTAGCTGTGATTTTCCTCGGATTCTAGGAACCTCAAACTGCTTCCCCCATCTCATGCATTTAGCTATCACATATTTTGAAAAAAAAATTTTTAAGTATTTATTTTGCCTTATTCATCCCTGAATCAGCTTTATATTTTCTGCTCTGAAAATAGCAACTATGCTGATGGTCAAATAGAAAGGAAATCATATATCTCACACTTGTCATTGTATTATTCTCCACATACTAAACGATTCTCAGAAAAGTGTACAGAGACAGCCTTAGGATTGTTTTTTAAGTAAAGCAGCTCTTTTTAAGAACTAAAAGAATCCCAGAAACGCCACTGGCATTTTGAAAGATCTAGATGCAAGTTAATTTTATCATTAAATATGGTTGATAAGGGTGAGATATTCAAGGATTAATGAAAATTACTACTGAATCAGGATTTTGGAATAAAACTAGTGGAGGAAAAGCTTTTGTGTTAGTAATTATGCTAAGCAAGGTGTGTGTTTTGTTTTTATGTTGCTAGTGTTGAACTTAGGTCGTCACACAGAACTATGTCACCAGCCTATTTTTTGAGACAATGTCTTGTTAAGCTACCCAGGCTGGGCTCAAACTTGTAATCCTCCTGCCTCAGCCTCCTAGAGTGCTGGTATTATAGACATGCACCATCACACCCGGCAGGGAAAGATATTTTTATGGTATAAATCTTAAATTTTCCTGCTTATGTTTACAGAACCCAGCTTCAGCTAGAAATCCAGTCTAATTTAAGAAGGTGGATAGATGGGATTTTTTCTTTCAGAGAAAAATAATTACCTTCAAGGTAAATTTAAATGAATTAAACAAAGTATAATCTACTAAGGATACTATGTTTTTAAAATGAAGGAAATTTTACAGAAAGAAAGAAAAAAGAAGCGCCAAAAGACAGGAGAAAAACCAAACAGAGCTGAAAGGGGAATTCTATTTTTAATCAGTATTGATTTGTCCACAGATTTGGGAGTTTCTCCAGGAGCCTTGGAGAAAGAGGAGAACGGAGTCCTTTTTATGTAGCGTGTCTCCATTTATCTACGGGTTGTGCTCCAAAGGTTCACATGTGATTTCGCTGTTTGGATCTCAAAATGGTATTATTAAAAGGAAGGCATTTATCTACAGAATGTTATAAATGCCTTTCAGCCTGCCAAGCCACTCCACAGTCACTGCTTTGGCTACTGATGTAATAATGCTAATAATTAAACCCCAGAATGCAGTAGAGTTGACTTAGCTGTTGTGTTTGGGGATGAACATGATTAGAAGAATATGAGTAAGTTTATGGAAACTTGTATGGCTCCTGAGTCTTTGAGGAGATGGTAACTGCACTGGGTTTGGAGTCAGAGAGCTGAGTTCACCAGTTCCTCTCTTTCTGGACTAATCACTAGTTGTGGTTGGCTGTTTAACCTCACTACAGGTCACCTGGGTAAAAACAGTATCTCCTTTGGGCATTGCCATGAAGATTAAGGGAGTGTTTTGCACAGCTGTTACTTGTAATACATTATTAATAATATATTAACATGTGTTATATATTAATAGGATCCTATTGTTATTATAGATCAATGTCTATAATATAGATACTTATACATAGCTTTCTACATGGTCCTCTTTTCTCCCTGAGATTAACTTTGAGAACAGAGATTTTTTTATCACATACTTTGGTGAATCCTTCCATTCGAGTTACACTGAACACAGGTACTACATTTCTTCGTTTATAGATGGTGATCTGCTTTCCTTAAGGACATTAGAGGTTGAAAACCTTACTGCTTCAAAAGGAAGCCTTTCTTTCTTTTCTATTTGTTGCAGGAGTATAGCTAGCACAACTCCGTGATTGCCTGACTGTGACTGAGTATTTATTTTGACTCCACACAGCTCAAAAAGAAAGAAAGGGGGAAGAACAAGAAGGTTAGTGAAAATTCCCCATGGTGTGTACTTAGCTGAAAATTGGGACTAAAAAACAGAAATGGAGGAGATACAGAAAAAAAGTGTCAGTATCTAAGAAAGGGCATGCACAAGGTAGGACTTCTGAGCTGGAGGAAGAGGAGAGTGAGGTAGTATATAAAGCAGGTGGAGGTAGGGTAAGGCACGCTGTACATAATGCCACCACTTGACCAGCAGGGGGTGGGCACTAACTTGGAGCAGCTGAGCCTGGCACAAGGCAGGACTGCATTTCTTGAGAGCCCCTCCAAGGAAGAAGGTGCTGACAGTGTGTGGGGGATGGGTACCCTTGGGAATTCCTGCCCTTGGGAGGTTCAGAGAGGTACAGAGGCCTGAGAGAGGTCTCTGGTGAATCTAAGAGCTCAGCCTCCTTCCTTCCTTTCCATCTTCTCTGACCCTGGCACTTCTACCACTTGCAGTAATTTGCTGTCTTCTGTTAGGTCCAGGACTAGCAAGAGAGAGAAGCCAGACTTAAGAGGAAGTGTCTGGCTTGGTTAATGAACGATGAGGCCTTCTTAGCTTTTGGTTCTGTTTCCTTGATCCTTTTTCTTGTCAGTGGCTTTCTGTCACTGTGAAGACAAAGTATAAATAAATCAAAGTAGTATTTCAAACGATCAGGAGGCCTCCTTCGCTGTTTCTGATTGAAGATCATCACATCAGCATGTATTTAAGGGCACTGCGTTTAGTTTTTTTTGTTCTTTTCTTACAGGATCTAGCTATGCCTTTTGATATGAGAAGTTTATTTCTATTACTATATTTATTTCTATTACTCTTAAAAAATGATGTTTTGATGCTTGCAAAATTTTTCCTTTATACTTTGGACTCTCATGGGTTGGTAACAAATTAGGTCCTTGAAAGTATAGCTTGACTGAGCATTTCCCCCCAACCTGTTATTCTAGAAAATATTCCCCTCTGTGTGGAGGGAAACTTCTGATGTGATTTTCACTGTTAATAATTATGTGACAAATCCCAGAATGAATGGCTGCCCACAAATGCTCCAATACTGTGTAAGATTTTACTTATTAAAAATCAAGGCATGATGGTACATGCCTGTAATCTAATACTCAGGAGGCTGAGGTAGGAGGATTGCCATAAGTCTGATTCCACCCAGGTTAGAAGAGTTCAAAGACATCTTGATCTACACAGTGACACCCTGTCTTAAAAAAAAAAATCAAGACTGACAGTTGAACAGGATAATTATGGTTCCAAAAGCCCCAAGGGGATTTAAACCATAGATTTTTGGACGTTCACTTTGCCAAGTAAGCCAACTGTCTGTGAGATCTTTACTCAGATCTCTACCTTACCCGAAGTGCAAGCGCCAGCCCTGATTTTGGGAAGTGTTGCTTTTGCTATACTAAGGTGTCAAATACCCAAGTTCAGTGTGTTGTTTAATTTTGATTGTCAGCCTCATCGACCTGAGCGTTGCTGAGATTAGTCAAGCACACTCCTGGGTGTTTCTGGGTTCTATTTGGGGGTGTGCCTTTGGGGACGGTGTTTGGTCCCCTGCCCTTTCCTCTCTGGATCTCTCTCTGTCTCTTCTTTCTAGATGCCAGGAATTGAGCAGCTTTCCCCTGCCATGCTCTTCCACCGTGATATTTCTGCCTGTGTGAAACACAATAAACATTTCCTCCTTTAAGTTGAGTGTGTCGGGCATTTTGTCCCAGCAATGGGAAGGTGACTATTGTAATCAGATACCATCCAAAACCAGGCTTTCCTCGGGGAGAAGGATGGAAAGGGAAGGGTGGGAAAATGAGGTCAGGAGAGAAGGATGAATCCAAGTGGTTTGCTACCTCTATGAGCAGCAGAGCAAACAGCGGGTTAGTCCATCTTCCCAGCACACCCAAAGGGGCAGCGGCATATCTATGATATGTAAACTTCGTGATAGCTGCTGTTTCCACTCGCCTTGGCCGATAATCTTAGCTGCTCTGCTGAGCCCCAAAATGTTGCCACAATGCTGCAGAGAACATGTAGAAGGTGGTCTTAAGGGACCTGAAATCATTTCCTGTGGCTCTTTAGAGTAAGCTGCATTTGATTTTCTTCCTGCATTCCTCCTGTGCCCCTGGGCATCTGTGGAGCCCTGGTCTTTGAAGTGAAACCTGAGCATGCTGGGAGGTTAGTTACGGTCTGCCCTCCGCAGCACAGTTCACTTAGTCGCGTGGCTCTTTCAACAAATCACGGTCTGGAAGTCTGAGAAAATGAAACGGACCAGATTGACATGTGCTTCAGGGACACCTGAAATGTAGAGCAGGTTCCACCTGCTGTGTGAATTCCTGCTTCCTTTTTCTTGCTGTTGGAGAGCGCTGGTGAAACTGTGAGATGGGAGGGCACAGCCTCTCCACCCCCCACACAAACGCGATCTAACTTTCCACTGGCGGTGACCTGCCCTCCGGTGGTACTTATCAGCTGTTGGGTGTTTTCACTAAAAGAAAACAAATCGAGGAATGTATTTTCCTGCATGCTAATGAAATGGCCGAGCCAACCCAGGGGTGATGAGAAGGCTTTCGGAATGGAGGAGAATAATGATCTTCAGTCTCTGACCTCCTGGCACCACTGGCTATTTATCAGGAGGCGCATGTGACTGGCTAAGACGCCGAGCTGGGGCTTCAAGGAAACAGCTGCTGGTGGTGTACTCGCCTCTTGGCAGCTGGACAGGCAGAGCACAGCGAAAAGCCACCCCAGTAAGTAATGTAACTGGATACTTGCAAGCTGTGCGCGTGTGTGTCTGTTTGCACAAGCTACCAACAACTTATTTGATTTTGATTTTGGTTTTCCTCTAACACTATAGAAGGAAACACCTTATTTGTACTTGATTAATAGCCATCTGTATGTTTACTAGCCATTAAGGAACCTGTTATTTTAAGTGATGTCGTCTTCTAACTTTGAGGGTGAGTGTGGCGTGTCCCTTTATTTCTGTCGCTGGAAGGAGTTTGTTTTCAGGAGTCTGGGATTTTGTTTTTTTTTTTTTTTTTTTGGTTTTTCTCCGGTACCGGGAACCGAACTCACGACCTTGCGCTTGCCAGGCAGGCGCTTTTGCTGCTGAGCTAAATCCCCAGCCCCAGGAGTCTGGGATTTTGATGGCCCATAACACTGAGGATCAGAGCCAAGATTCAGGTAACAAAGTAGAGAACCGATAGAAGAGAGCTGACTGGATTTGATTTGAATTGATTGTACCATTTAAATTTGAAAACATAGTGGTTTAAAATCACTGGTGAATTTATTGTATGGCTGGCTTTGACCATCGCTGGTTCACCTGAAGACTATGTCACTTAACGGTGTATAACCGGCTGTACTACAGAGAGCCGACAAGGTCATTACCTTTGATTAGATTAGAAATCATATTCAGATTTTACGCATGTTTTCCAACTCACTGAAAGCTGTCTCAATAGCTCTTTTCTTCCGTGAGTTAGTTCACCCCCAATACTTTAAAGCTAAAATTTCTAGCTGCTCCCGATCGTCCTCGTTTTAGTGTTTTTGCGGTGCTTGGGCTCTTGCTTCTCTGTTTGTGACATGGATTATGAAAATGCTGTCAGCGCTGGTTGTCCGCACTGGTGACCCGGCACGCAGAGACCTGAGAAGATGTCCTTTCCCAGGTTCATTCAGCAGCAGGGAGTTTCCTCTGCAGAGTTGCAAATGGTGCCAGATGGGGGCAGAGTTTAGGGGTATTTGTCCTTCTCTGGGGGTCACCAGCCAGAATGGCTAAGAGGAAAGAAAAAGGGGGAAAATTGAGAGGGGAGAACCTGGAGTAACCTCTCAAAGTGACAGACCTCTCAGGCAGAGGTGCAGGGAGATGACCAAGCCGGTTTCTTTTCTGGGTTGCCCAGACAGCATTGAGCGGGGCGGAGTGGTCATTTCCATTTGAATTCTCATTACATGGTGTTCGGTTGGGAGTGAGCTGAGGACACTCTGACGTCCCCTGACTGCAGGACCACTGAGGAGGCTCACGTTGTGCAATGTGCATGTGACTTCTGCTCCTGCCCTGAGGAAACTTTTTCTCCTACTGCCAGCCACCCTCTGCGGGATGTGAAGATTGGATAGAAAATGACCAGGGTATGTTGGTTCTGTCACAGAATTCCTGCAACACAAGTGGTCTGGAGTACCTCATTAGCCACAGGAAGCAGCCTCAGATGCCCAAATGGAAAAAAAAAATGTCTAGTCTGGCAGAGAGATGTTCTTTCTCTTATTCCTTAAAATATAGAAGAAACCATAGTTTCATGTCTCCAATGAGAAAAAAAAAAAAGGTTACAACTCCTGTGTTCCTCTTTCTGTCATTTGTGCGAGGGGTCCTTGGGTCAGCTGGCGTCCGCGTGGCCTATGATTTCCCTGTCTGACTGCGGGGACTGCTTGCCATGCTGGGTCATTTTCTAGGGAGTTCACTTCTGCTTTGCTTTCTCTTTTTCCATATGCTGATAGTGGAAAAGAACTCTCCAGTGAAATCATGTCTTCAGAAAAACAGAACCTCCCATAATAAAATGCAATATCTAATTGAGACTAAACTAAAGATTATTCTCTATACTTATGACAGTATTACTTATGACAATTTATAGGGCAAAGTATAGTTCAGTGGTAGAGCATGTGCCAGTCCCTGATTTTGATTCCTAACACTGAAAATTTAAAAGGAGCCTATAAAATGGGATGTCTAGTCTGTATAGTGGTACATACCTGTAATTCTGGCTGTTCATGAGGCTGAGGCAGGAAGATTACCAGTCTGAGGGCTATATAGAAAGTTCCGGGCAGCCTAGTCATAATGGGACCATGGGTGGGGAAAACAAAAAAGGAATGTCTACATGGGAATCAGTGTGTCTTTTGAATTATCCAGCTCCTAAATTTTTGAAAGCTCATAGATCTTGAGAAATTCAGTGAATTTTTAAAATGCTAATGGCACAATAATAAAAACAATTACTTTACATGCACATAGTATATCCCTATAGTCAAAGACTTTTAGGAGTTATGAAATGTTAGCTGGGCGTGGTGGCACACGCCTGTAATCCCAGCACTTGGGAGGCTGAGGCAGGAGAATCGTTGTGAGTTTGAGACCACCCTGGGCCACAAAGTGAGCTCAAGGCCAGCCTGAATTGCATAGTGAGATCCTGTCTCAAAAAGACAAAAAGAAAGCTTAATTAGCATCTTCATTTTGAAGATGAGGAAATCACAATAAATATATCTGAGTCACAGTAGAAAGCCAGAAAGGAGAGTAGTTCTGATCCTATTACACGTTATTAATTCTAGTAATTATAATGTACATTTATTGTGCACTTACCATGCTAGGTGAAGTATATTTTTATAGCATCCTCATGGTAACTCTATGTGCTATATGGATAGATGGCCTCTGATTTACAGTATTTCAACTTAACAACATTTTGACTTTATAATGGTGTGAAAATGATAGGGACCCAGTGGAAACCACACTGTGAACTTTAAATTTGGATTTTCCCCCTAAATTAATGATATATTAATATCATTAATATATGGGCAGCAACTACAGATCATGGGGGAAATAATCATCCCCCTACAGTGCCCAGGTTTGCTAAGCAGGGCTGTTCAGTAAGTTAGGTACATGAAAATGCATTTCCAACTACTTTGGATGGGTTTATTGGCATGTAGCCTACTGCAGGTTGAGCAGCATTTGTGTGTTATTATTCTTCTAGTTTCATATAAGGAGAAATGAAGGTTCAGAGGCCCCTTAAGTACACACAACAGTGATGTCTACATCAGATTCCAGAACCTACACACATTAAAAAATAAAAGTGGAAAAAAAAAAAAATAAAATAAAAGTGGAGTTTATGGTGAACCCCATACATTTAAATGTAAAAGGCCATGAAATGCAAATGAATTTCCAGCACAGTAAGCTTAGATGCAGTGTGTGCTATGGGCTTCACACCCTCCGTGGCAGGTAAGGCTAGCTTTCCCCCTGTGACAGTACAAGCCCAGACCACAGAGGAGCACTGACCCGCAACGTATTTTTCTCCTTGGAGACGGAGCACAGTGACAGCTTTTGACCAGGAAAGACCAGCAACTGACAGTTTTGTCACTAGACTGGAGCACACCCCTCTCACTGTCCCTGGGACCCTTCCTGTTTTTTCTGTCAGTCCTTTCCTTTGGAGGACAGCTACTCCACCCACGCGCCATTCCAAACTGCTGGCTTAGTGTTCGTGAAGCCATCATGCAAACTGTTCCTTACGGCTCATCCAGAAGGCTGTTGGTGTGAGCAGGTTGTTAATGAAGAGAAACAGCCACAAGCCTTCGCTCTGCTCCTCTTTGCTCCTAGGTGTGTGTTGGGGGGGTGGGGGTCCCAGAACAGGGGGCTGACTGGGAGGGAGGAGAGTTGTGCTTTTCTCTGCAGGCTGTGATACTGCCTGTACCTGCCATTTGCTCTGCATCACACGTCTCTCCCCACAAGCTGCATATCCACACGCTGCCTGTCTCACTGTCTCACTGGCAACCCACGAACCTGGGGCTCTTCTGGGTCACGAGACAGAGCCTTTATAGAAGCCTAGTTCTTGAATGCTTTTGAAAGTTTCATTTGGGTCTGCACTTTCTTCCTCTTGGTCAAATGTAAAGACTGTAATAGTGGAGCCCTGGGTGATGACACACAAGCAGTGGTGGAGTTTGGAAAATCCTTTGGTTAATCAAGGGGGAGAGTAAACAAGCGGCCCATGCATGGATGTCTTTGAGAGAATTATCCATGTTTGTTCAAGGTCATTAAGATAAGATTACATTTCTGCCTTGTTGGCTGTGTGTGTGTATGTGTGTGTATATGGTCCTGGGGATTGAACTCAGGACCTTGTGCATGCTAGGATTTTTTTTTTTTTTTTGAGACAGGGTCTTGCTATGAAGTTCAGGCTGACCCGGCCCTCACTGCGTGGTTCAGGGTGGCCTCAAACTTGAAGTAACCCGAATTCTGGGATTATAGGTGTGTGCAACCATGCCTGTCTAACGTTACATATTTAGAAGATGAAGCTATTCACAGAAAGAAAAGGAAATTTTCAATCTTTAATTCCACCTGCTGAGGTGGAAATGAAGCTCAACTCAATCATAGCTCAACTCATCTATACAGTCAGGCAAACCAGAACCACAGGGAACTGCCTCCGATGGGAGTCACAGTCGGCCCTCAGTATTCTTGGGGGATTGGCCTCAGGATTCGATGCATCCGAGGCCACTCATGTTCCTTAGATATTACGGCATAGGATTTGCATAAACCCGTTCACATCCTCCTGGGTACTTTAAATCATCTCTAGGTTATGTATAGTATCTTATGTAATGTAAATGCTATCGAAATAATTGTTACACTATATTGTTTATGGAATGATAAGGAAAAAAGCTGTACTTGTTCAGTGCAGCTGCAATTACATTTAAAAATATTTTTGATCCTCGGTTGAATCTGTGGATGTGGAACCCAGGGGGAGGGCACAGAACCTCTAACCCTTGCTGGCAATTCTTTCCATGGACATTGGCACACGGCAGTGGGTGTTACACAGAAACACAAGAAACGGACTCAGAATTTTAACAGAATGCACCAGTCAAACTAGGGCAAAATAAAATGCTTGATTAATTTTGGGGGGAACTCTTACAATAAGGAAACAAATTCTGTGATGCAGTGCTTATTTTGTTTGTGCCACATTGTTTATTATTATTATTATTATTATTATTATTATTATTATTATCATTATTTGGTTTTTAG